AACAGATGAAATCACACGTGGTTTCTGCCAGCGCCCTCCACGAGGGGAGGTGGTCGCATCTGAACTGAGTGGAAACCGCTCTCAGCAGAGACACAGAAAGCCTTAGCAAGACCTAACTTCAGAACTACAAAGACACCACAGAGGAAATAAAATGCTAACTGTACGTAGAATGTGGACGTTAGGCCTACTTACTAAAACCCCTAGAGCGGTCCCTAAAGAATCAATACAAAGAAATGTATTTTAAAGGCTAATAAAGTAAATGGAATACTAAACCATATTCAAATAACCCAAAAGAAGGCACGAGAATGGGAACGAAGTAATGAGAACCGGAGGGACAATAGAAAGCCAGCAGTGGAACCTCGGACCCCGATCCAAAGGTCTCAGTGACGAAACCCGCTGTAAAGACAACGCTGTAGCCCTGGCTGGTGTGGCTCAGTGGACTGAGTGCCCGCCTGCGAACCAAAGAGTCGCCGGCTCAATTCCCAGTCAGGGCAAGTGCCTGGGTTGCAGGCCAGGTCCCCAGTAGGGGGCGTGCAAGAGGCAACCACACACTGGCGCTTCCCTTTCTTTCTCCTTTCCTTCCCCCTTTCTAAAAATAAGTAAATAAAATCTTAATGTAGATGGGCTAAATGTTAACAAACAGAAAGTTCTCCCCTAAAGAGACCAGCAGGCCCAGGCAGTGTAACAGGTAAGTTGTACCAGACTTTCAAGAACAGGCCATCCTATAAGAAAAAGAAAAAAGACTCCAAGCCCTTCCCTGCGGCCCGGATAACTGATGTGCAGTCCCAACAGACATGAGCAGAGGGCAAGCCAGCGCCCCAGTCACTCCTGAACATGGACACAAACCCTCACCGGACACCAGCAAGTCGAACCGAGCTGAGTGACTTCAGGAAGAATACACCACAGTCAAACCAGATGACCCGCAAACACAGGGAGGGTTTAAAGGCAGGAAATCCAGAATCATAACTCACTTTGACAGATGACAGGGGAGGGGCGTCCCGGCCGCAGGCAGGCGGGGCGTGGGGGCGGGCAGCGCAGGCCTTCAGAGGGCCTCCCGCAGCAGAGCTCCGCAGGCTCCAGGGAAGACCTGCAGGGCCCCACAGGGGCCGGGCTCTCAGGAGGGCAGAGCGAGGCTTGGGCTGCACAGGAGGCAGAGCCATTACTCCCATGCCCACATGCACTGCAAGGCCCAGAACATAACTCTGTAGGCCCACAGGGACCTGCTGAGACACCGGTGCTGCGGCCCCCTGCCCCCACTGGCTCCAGTGGTCAAGTTCTCTCTCCCCACTCACAGCCTGGCAGCCTGCTGCAGAAGACAGGAACAAGTTCCAGCGGCAGGCCACCGGGCTGTGCTGGTCTGGGGTCCTCGGAGAGAGGTCAACTGGTGGGGCGCCTGGACCAACTGTCTCTACATCCACAAACGGTAACCAGTAACTGAGCCGGGAGCTCACCGGACAGGCCAGGGGAGCCATTCGGCCCATCCCCCCCAACCACCTCCGCAGCACTCAGGACCGAGGGCCAGACAGATGAAGCGTTGTGGGGAGGAGGAGGGGGGTCTACAGAGAAGGACAGAGAAGTCTGCACTTGCTGGAGGTTGTTTGAAGAGAGCCCAGGGACCCTGGGGCCTCCCCCTCCGCTGTCCACGGGCCTGAGCCCTGAAGGCCGCCCTGCTGCGTCCCTGCGGGCCCCACGGGCTCACGCCGCCGGCTGCACCAGGCCCTGCCCTCCTGGGTCCGGAGAGGAGGGTGGACACTGAGCTCACCCCCACAACCCCCGATGGCTGGGCTCTAGTTGTCGGGGGCTGGTCCCTCCCTGCAGCCATTGCCTGTTACCCGACAGGAGCCCCCCTCTCAGCTCCAGGTCAGCAGGTCTGGGGCACTCTGCCACCCTCGTCCCTGCAGCCCAGGTCCCCCAAAACCTGCCCACCCTCTGCCCACAAACTCCAAGCACCCCGTTGAACATCCATCTGTCCCTTCCAGGACTTGCTAGCCTAGCAGAGCCCCTGGCGGTGCCCAGGGATTTGCAGCCGTGAGCGGTGGGAAGCCAAGCCCCATCCCCACCACAGGGCAGGTGCCCACAGCCTCCTGGGACTGCACTGCTGGGAAAATGGGGGTCAAGCAGCAATCAGGTGGCCAGGCCCGGGCCAGCTCCAAAGCCACGGGGCTTCTTGCCCTGTGTGGTGGTGTGTGTGTAATGCACGTATGCATGTATGAGCTCTGTGCGCAGGAGTGCACGTGTACACGTGTGAATGAGGGCACAGGTCTTCAGGAAGGCGGGGCCATGCTGGGCGAGGTGGCGCCTGGAGGTCTGGTGGGTGGGACCTCGCTGCTGCCTCGTCCCAGCCTCGCCGCTCCAGTGGGTGGGAACTGGTCCAAGAGGGAGAAACCCGTGAGAACCCCCAGCCTGCTCTGCCCTGAAGCTGCAACTGTTTCATGTGGTTCCAACTCATTTAGTGTATTATCCAGGATTTCAAAGAGCCATTAGCGAGACAATCCCTCAGTCCCTGGTTTCCCCTGCATCTGAGCCAACGTCAGGTCCTCTGCCAGATAGGTAAACCCGCACGCGCAGGTACACGCACACACGTGTGCACACACAACTTGAAAGGAACCTTGTCACCACCGTTTCCCTGGAGTCGGGAGGACTGTGGCAGATACATGAGGTCAGTGCCCTTGGTAGTCACACAGGCTAGCTGGGTCTGTGCCTCGGGGGCCACAGAGGCGGGCTCTGAGCACCCGCCACCGGCACCCCACAGGATCTGAGCTCTGGTCCTGCTTCCGCAGGGCCCACCCCTGCCCCTGTCCCCAGCTTTGCCAGCAGTAGGGGGTGCTGGCAAGTCTCACGGTAGCTGGTGACTGGTGGAAGGGTGAGGGTGTCACTGAGGGCCAGTGGCAGAAACAGGAGGTGAAGAGGCCAAAAGCTGCCAGGCAGGTCCCTGGGCAGAAAGGAACCTGGGCCCCAGCTGTACAGGACAGGCCTTGGGCAGCCGGGCAGAGGCCCCCCCCATGATGAGGCGGTCGGTGCACAGGCAGGCATGTGAAGGCCAGAGCCCACATCTCTCACCCCCGAGACCAGAGCCTTGGTTCTTGCCTGTGGGGCCGTCAGGGGGCTTCTGGACCCAGAGCACGACCCCCTGACCAGCACCCGAGCCACTCAACAGCGAACAGCACTCCGGCCAGGCAGGGCCAGGCAGGGCCAGGAACCCCACACGGCTGAGTGGCTGCCAGCCCCACGCTGCCACGGGCGCACCTGCAGCGCCATGCCCAGCTTTCCTGGTCAGGACACCTGTGAGCACCTGCAGGCATCTGTGCACCCAGAGCAGCCTGCGCAGGTGCCAAGTGGAGTGGAAGCCTGGGCAAATGTCCAAGCCACCCCTAAAACCGAGGTCCCTGAGGCTCAGGTAACAGGTGTGGGTAGTCGAGGCAGACGGCCTCAAGGGGCGGGTGGCACACCCCACGATGTGAAGTACAGAGAAGCAGCTTCCATGTGACTGGGCTGAGGCCAGCATCCGCCAGAGCTGGGGTTCGGTTGAGTGGGGAGGCGGTGGGCGCGGGGCAGTTCTCACGTAGGACCTGGGGCCCGCTGCCATAGGGGCCTGGGTGGCAGGGGATCTGGAAGGTGCTGCTGGGCCGGGGTCCTGCGTCCATGGCGAGACTGGCCTCTGAGGGAGTGCTGTTCCCAGAAATGGAAGTGGGGGAGCTTGGCCTGAACATATTTGGGGGGCTGTAATAAACACCAGGCCCCTGACCGCAGCTCAGCCCATAGCACCATTCCCTGAGTTGAAGGGGGTGTGTGGTGTAGGGTCCATGTGGGTGCCTCCTCTGCAATCAGACCTCCCGGGACGTGCCCAAGGCACCTGACCCCTGGCTGAGTGCTTGGCAGGATCTGCCAGCCAGCCTCTTCTGCCCGCCCAAGGCTGGCCCTGGGCCGGCGCCGGGAACGGGGACTCCGGGGGGGCTCTCAGCACGCCTGATGCGAGTGCCGCACTGGGCCCAAACCATCTGCGCAGACACAGTGGCTGTGCTGACACCTGCTCTCCCTCTGGGGGTCTGGAGTCTGGGGCACGTGCTGGGCAGGGGTGCCACATGACCAGCCCCGATAAGAGCCCTGGACTCTGGGCTCTGACGAGCTCCCTGGTGGACATCTCACGCTCCTGCCTGAGCAGGTAAGCGCGTCCTGCACGATCCGCAAGGACGGGCTCTGAGCGCTGGCCACGCCTGGTGTCCCCGACTCCTGCCCACGTGGCTTTTCCCCGCGCTGACTGTGCACCGAACCCTTTCACCGCCCTGGATCACAGCTGAGCTCAGCAAATCACCAAACCTGGGGTGGTGGTTTTGGGCACCCCAATTCAAATCCTGTCAGAGACCTCAGCCATTACACGGACGAACGAGAGAACGCCCCTCAAGAGAAGGTGGCGCGGGGCCCGGGGCGGGAACGGAGGGCCAGCTGTGGCTCCAGGGAGGCCTGGGGACGACAGGGAAAGGCCAACCGTGACGACCATCAACGACAGCTCTGCGGGCCAGCGGGGCCGGCGCCCGCGCCTCTTTGCGTCTCCACACACTAAGGAAGCAGCTCCGGGGGCGGGTCTGGGACCGTGACTCCGAGCCCAGGGGAGAATCCAGGTGTGGCCTTGGCTTCCCGCTGCTTCCCACTCGAGCGACTGCTCTTTGCTGCCCGCGTCCACAGTGAGAGGCTGGGAAACACGGACATCCCCTCCGCCCGGGTTCACTGCCCTGAGTGCTGTCGCAGACCCCAGCTTGGAAACCCGAGAATTCCAGAAGGAAGACATGGAGAGTGGAGAAGAGGAACTAAAGAGAATGAACCCTGCAACACTCACACAGGCCTTCAGGATAAAGTGACCCCGGACAGTGCTGGGAGCGGGGTCCCGGTGCCCATGCGCACTGCGCGCAGGAGGGCAGCCCCACGGAGGGGCCGCTGGCGCACTCCACGTGGGTCTCCGTGTGCTTATAGAATAGCGCGACAAAGAGAAACACAATGCAGAGTGGGGAAAAATATATAACTTTATTTTTAACCAGGGGATTCTCTTTTCCATTTAATAAATACAAACTAATAAAAATACTTTGTTTTGCAAAGAGACTGCCTCTCTTCTTCCTCCAGATTTCACGGAAGCCCCCGTGGCCACTGTTGATGTGGCCGCAATGCCCACGCTCCAGCCGTGTCCACACACCACACCCCCACGTGCCTCTCCTCTCCGCGGAGAGGGCTCTGCCTCCTACGAATGGGCCTGCACACACAACTCAGGTGAGTATGTCTCCTTTCCTCCCCTTCCAAATGCAAGCCCCGTACTGAATTCCCGATCTTAAAACATGCCCTCTGCGAAGGAGAGACCCTGGTTTCCATGGGGCCCAACACGGAGCCCTTCAGTCAGAACTCACTGACCCAAGAAACTACACGAGGCGGCAGCACAGCAGAAGCCACGCCTGTCCGCCAGACGCATGGTGAAAGGGAAGGGAAGGAGAAATTACAGTAAAACCTATTCTGTGTCTTGGAGGCCGTCCCTTATTTCAAAAATAGAAATTCCTATTTAAGTGTAACCTGTCCGAAACAGGCCGGATGTGTGGTTCTGCATGCAGCAAGTCTGTTGTTATTGCTCACAGTGGACCCCGGCAGCGTGCTGTGGAGCCGCCCGCATCGGAGCCCGGCCGCGTCAAAACCACAAGCCACAGCACGTGATCTGCGCCCACAGGGCCCGGGCCCCGCGTGCCACATTTCCACGAGCGCCGGTCAAGTTCGCAGGTAAGGCACGCCTCTGCGCTGCACTAACAGTGGATCCCTTCCAACCCCGAGTCACAAATCACAATTTTGCCCTAGCAGCTGCTACAAGTTCCTGCTGCGACCAAGCATGCCCAAAAGCCTAGAACTCCCCGGCTTCGAGAACGGAAAAGACAAACTCCCGCAGTTCCAGAAGAAACTGTGACTGAACCTTCCAGTCTCCCCTTTTTCCCGCGCTGGTAACTGAGACAGGGCCGTATTCTCTGATCAGCGGGACCCGGAACGACCGCTGGTCTGTGCGGTCGGCAGCGAGCTTCTGCACGCGCCCACTGTTCATCGGTCCGCATCTGAACAGCATTTATTTCCTGGAAGTTTTTCTAAGTGTGGGAGGCTGTGGTGCGGAACAAGTGGAGAAGGTGGGACCGGGGCAGAAAGAAAACACCTGCTGGTGAGAGAGAACACACTGCAGCAGCGGCACACCGCTCCTGGGGCACGCAGGGAGCCGGAGGGACCCGCAGAGGCGTCCGCCTGGCCTCTGCCTCAGCGTCAGGCCCCCGCCCTTTGGAGAGAGCATCACCGGTTCCAGTCCCGGGAAGGCCAGCGCACACCCTCCCCAACCCCGGGAGGGGTGGGAAGCCGTTCAGCTGGGAGAGGTAGTGGAGACGGCTTGCCAATCTACCTGGACCACCTTGCCGGAACACTCTAAAGCTGCATTCAATGGTCATTATTCTACGTAAGTTGTAATTTCAGAATAGAAGCCTGTTTAGGGTGGGAGAGGTGGCAAAGAAGACCAGAGCTGCAATTCTGCAAGCTTGCCTTTTTGGTGCCAGCACAGAGTGTCACTGTCACTAAGTGTCCTGGAGGAGAAACACTGGAGACCGCTTGGTGGCAGGTGCACACACACACACGGGCGGGGCTCAGAGCCCCAGAGACTTCTGCACGATCTGCTTGGCGATCTTGTAGAACTGCTCCCGGTCATCCCGCCACATTTTGGAGGCATCCACGTTCGCTCCACTTTCGTCATTGGGCTCTGAAAGAGAAGGCAGACATTGCCACTTGAAAGGGGCTGTCAAAGGGAGGTCTCGACTGGCAAGATCTCCACTTCACTCAGAAACACTGCTGGGTCTCCCCAGAGATGCGTCCCAGAAATAAGCAAGAGATGCTGACCACTGAAATGCTGGGGGGAGTCTGCTCTTGAAGAAGCAAACGAGAGCCCCGCTCCGGAGCAGCAGTGTGAGCTCAGTGGAGAGACGCATCTTGGGGTGAAATCCACTCTCATGACTCCTTCCTTCTGAGGGTCTAAATGTGCCCGCGGAAGTCATCTACCTCACTCTGGGCACCCCAGAGAGCAGGCCAGACGAGCCACGGGCCTGCCCCCGGAGCGCCCTGTGCAGACTGCGTCTGTCTCAGAGCCCGTCAGTGCAGCTGCCTCCTCGCTCCTACAGGAGTGCACGGCCACGCTGATGTGGCCGCACGTGGGTGCTGGGCCCACGTGGACACCTGACCCCAGGGTAGCTAGTCCCTGAACTGGCCAGACAGGGCCAGCAGTGGCTCCAGGGTGGAATCCGGAGACACACCGAGAGGCAGCCGGGGCCTGGGGGAACAGGACAGGAGAACAGGCAGTCACATACATACAGGCAGTGAGCCCAGTGCTGGTGGCCAGAACTGAGAAGTGGCTAGATCAGAACAGAGAAGGCTGCCTGGAGGCCAAGAGGGCGGCGAGCACAGCCCTGAGATCAGCCCCGGGTCCAGCCAGGCCCGCTCCCTCCCACTCCAGCCCTCCTTCCCTAAGCTGCGTCAACCCGACTGACAAAGAGTGTCTCCCCTCCTTCCACGCACTCACAACCCCCTCCTCACCAGGTCACAAGTGCAAGGCCTCATTCTGGGCACCGGCTATGCAGCCAACCTCACTACCTGGGCCCTCAGAGAGGCACCACCTAGCGGGCCCACAAAGGCCGCATTTCAAACTAAGTGCTACAGAGGGGAGGACGGGACAGCAGCAGGCAGAATGACTGCTGGCCTCCTGGAGGGTGCGGCACTCAAAGGACTCCTGACCGGGCCGGGCTGCGGGAACACCCAAGCACGGGCAGAGCCTCTGACTGAGGGAACCCCAGGGCCCAAGGGCACGCAGCGGCCCTAGGGCAGCCCCGGGACGGAGGGCACACACGAACGCACGGGGGAGGGGCCCGGCCGGCCTGAGCATGCGGACGGCGCTGGAAAAGCTGCTCAGCGTAGGGGACTGGTATTCCGAGAGGAGTGTGTAAGGACTACATTAAAACCTTTAAAAGAAGAATGTATAGCTGACATAGGAAGACAGCCAAACCACTGCCTCCCCCCCATCTTCAGACCCTTTCTCCTGCTTCCAACCGCTCAGTGGACGAATGGGGAGTGCTTCCAGCTCAAACCATGCACGCACCGAAATCCCGGACCTCACCGCATCCCAAGCAGCCAGCTGAGGACATCCATGGCCCAAACCCAGGGTCGCTCGGGCTGGCCTCCAGCTGGGCGCCCCCTGCCCCGCCCAGGGGGGCCTTCCATTCCGCAGCACTGTCCACGTTCTCCTTGTGGCAACCCTCCATCTCCTCTGGATTTTCCAGGCCACTCCACCCACACTCCTCTGAGGACCCCTCTCCGTCCACATGCCCTTTCCCTATCATCCCCTCTGTACTACCGGTCACCCACTGTCTTACCCACAGATGACCCCACACCCTCACTTCCACCACCCCCCCTTCAGCTGAGTGGCTTCCAGGCAGGCCCTGGAGGGTGGTGGACAGTCACACCCCAAAGTGTTCCCTTCCCCAAACCCCGCTCCCTTTGGATACCTGTCCCCAAACCAGCGCCCTTTTGCCCAGGCACTTGGGTTACCCGCCCCCTAGTTACTCGAGTTCCACAGCCGGTGTCTCCCATGCCCTGGCCCTAGGCCCCAGAAAGTCCTGCCCTGCCGTAACCATGGCCACACTTGACCGCCTCGCCTCCAAGTCGGCGCCATGGTCACAGGAGCATCTTCCTAAGGCTCAGCACGCATGACCGGACACCCATGGGGGCCCGGCTCCGAGGGAGCACACCGCCGCAGGGCTCCCTGCCCCAGCTGGGCTCTGGCCATAAGGAGTCCTGGCAGTGCCCTGCCAGAGTCAGTGGCCTCTCCCTCTCCCTTACCTCATAACTCCCAAGTGTCCTAAACTGATGCCACACGGTCCCAGCTTGGGACCTGACCTGGGAGCCCCGGGTGTGTCATGCCCACAGGATTTATCAGGGTGGCCTGCAACTGCTGCTGAATTTGGAACATTTCCTGAGAAAGTGGGGCCTTAAAGCTGGGGTCTACATGTCACACTGGGCTCCACACCCCTGGTACAGTGTCTGCCCCAACACAGCAGGCCCCCTGATGGATGACTGAAATAAAGGAGATGCCCACAGTCACAGCAAGGCTACCCCGGTCTGCACCGTGACGCACACACACTGCTGGTCTACACAACACGGCATGCATGACGCGAGGCCGTCCTTGAAGTTCAAAATTATGGAAAGCATCACAAATGGTGAAAGTGAGTTACGCAGGCAAGGATGAAATGAGCTGTCTGGCTCCTACAACTAGTGGCAAGCCAACCGAGACAACCAAGGCCCTACTCACCCGCCAGCATGCTCACCACCGACAGGAGGATCTTCTCCACGCTCTGCACGGGGCTCCACCTCTCGGCGCTGCTCTCATAGCCCATGGGGTCGTCGCCTGGCGCGTGGAGGATGGAAATGCAGACTCTGCCATCGGGGTAGACTGCAGGGGCCAGAACACATCAGGTGAGCAATACTGGGCCAGTGACACGGCAGGTGGTCAGGGCCCAGGGAGGAAGGGAGCAGGAGGTGCCAACACAGCAAACCGTCCACACAGCTGGGGCACAGCCTGAGGCCCCGCCCACAGGGTCCTGGGGAGCCCATGCAGGCCCCTCAGGGCACTGCTCACCCTGACGGGGCTCTGGGCTGACCTGTCCAGTTCTAGTCATCATGGGAAAACTCACCTTCATATGTTTTTTTTTAAATATTAAGAGTATCAATTTCTCTTCATCCATTGATTACATTTAAATAGCCCCCGCCCCCTTCCTGGGGCCAGTGTATTTGACTTTTTAAAATTGTTGTTCAAGTAAAGTTGTCTCCATTTCCCCCCTGCCACCTCCCACCTCACAGTATGTAATCATCCTACTAACAAAGTTAAAGCCATCTGGTTTTTTTTTCCCGTTATACATACTTGGAGAGATTTTCAGAGGCTTTGGCATACGCTCAAATTACCCAAGAATCCATCTGGAGAGACTCAATTGTAAACTTGCAAGACTGTTAAGTTTAATTTAAAATGAAAATGCATCTAAATCACCTTCATGAGAATTCAGAATTGAGAGTAGTTCTAAATAGCCTTCCTTTCACACTAGCCCCTCACTTTTCCCACCCAACGGGTGTTCCAGTGCTTCCAGCTCTCCGGCTACCCAAGCACCGCACCACCAACTCCCGCCGAAGGACCAGGCTCAGGAAACTGCACAACTGTGGTTGTGTGCACCAGGACATCCCCCCACAGGCCCCGCCCACAGGACCTGAGCACCCAGAACGCTTTGAACAACTCTCTCTGCCATAAAAGCAGAGTAGGTGTCAAGGAGTTTTCAACTCAAGAGTCACTTCTTCAAGGTGACAGCATTACACAGTGACCCAGTACACCCAGAAGCAACTGTGTCCCTTGCCGCCGCCTCCTCACGGGGTTTCATCAGTTTCATCTCCTAAACCTCCCCTGAACCTCCACGTCCACAGTCCTCTCCCCTGGCCCACCACAGCTGCATCCCGGCCAGGCCGTCCAACTGGACTCGACCCCACACCAGGGTGGCTCCTCTAAGGCCACACTGATCACGCCAGCCCGCATACGCATCCCCCAGCAGTCAGCCACGCTCCTTAAATAAACACCCAGATCGGAATCATTGCTCAAAGGCCTCAACTGCTTTGGCCCCTACTCCCCTGTCCCCTCACTCCTTCCTCTGCTCGGTCCACCCCCCCCGCCCTGCCTGATGGATGCCCAGGAACTCCCACTGCTCTTCCCCTGCAGGCTGAGCTTGGCCACCACCTCTGCAGGACACGCCCCCACCTCACTGACGGTCCAGCCCCCCACTTTTTATTATCGTGTTCACCACTGTATCCTAGCAACTCAGTAAATGTGCTCAACTATTTTTTAAAGCATTTATGGACTGATCAGTTTTCATTATAGTGAGACCTATCTAATAGCTCTTCTCAAAAATAATTTTTATAAAATAAAAACAGCACACATCCACTTACAATAAGGCCAAATTTAAAAGCTATTTGTGCCCTGGCTGGTGTGGCTCTGTGGACTGAGTGCTGGCCTGCAAACTGAAAGGTCACCAGCTCGATTCCCAGTCAGGGCACCTGCCTGGATTGCAGGCCAGGTCCCCAGTTGGGGGTGTGTGAGAGGCAACTAACTGATCACATAGATGTTTCATGTGATCCCATGAAACATGTGAAATATCACAGAGATGTTTCCCTCTTTCTCCCTCACTTACCCTTTCTCTAAAAGTAAATAAAATCTTTTAAAAAAGCTATTTTTATTAATTATCTGAACATTAAAACAGTATTATCAGACTATTCCTACCATACATTCACACAGTTTAACACTTTAATCAGTTTATCGGCCACATTTGTTTCTAACACTATGTTATAAGCAGTGTTCTAAAGACCACTTATCTTCTGTAAAATCTTAATTTTTAATTACCCACAGTCCTCTTTATAGTTGCATTTTGCCATTAATCAACTTGAAATTGTTGATCCTTCAATCCATTCCATCAACCATAATATATTTTTAAACTGTTGGGCAAGTTATCTCTGAGCCTCCTGGAGGTCTCCCTTCACCTACGTCTCCCCCCTTCCTTACGGCTGGATCTTTGAAAAATGCCTGTTAGATCTCTAAGCAAAATGTGACTCACTACTGGTACAATTATCTGGAAACTGAAAAACCCCACCGCTCTGTGTTACTCAAACACCAAGGTGGCGGCGGCATGATGAATGTGTGGGCACACCTCATTCAACTGCCGCGACCAGCAGCCTGCGGCCGGCCTTCCCCGCAGACTGAAGGCTTCTGAGCTCCCCCCACACAGTGTCCCGAACTGACGCCGAGCTAAGGAAAGGTCCAGACTGGCCACTGGCATCGGCGGTGAACAACAAATCCCTAACGGGGGTGTGAGCAGCAAGTCCCACAGGAGAGAGCGTGCCCACCAGGTGGGCCATCCCGGGCCCATCGGGAGAGCGGAGAGTCCGGGCAGGGCTTCCGAGTGGGGTGGGGGTGGGGGTGGGGCGTAGGTGGTGTGTCACAGGAGTTCATTTGCAAACCGAGAGGGAAGTCAAAAGCTGAGACCATCCTCTAAATTCTCTCATGATATGTAAAAAAGTACAGGAAAAGAAACTGGTTTCAAATAGGTAAATATTTCATTGCTACAAAAAGAAACATTTTGTTGTTGCCACAACTATTAAGAACATGATTAATGGCAATAATAATCATTTATAAAAAGGAACGTTATTTTAAACATGATCACTGAAAACAACGTATTTCCTTATTAACTCTCTTAACTATAATCCCTACCTGTACAAGGAAGACATAAAAACTGCAGCCATTCAGGAATTCTGATCCCTGCTACTAGACACTTTTTCAACTAAAGTACAGTAAGTTTATGTAAATGACCTTATTTTTTCCTCTTTTTAAAATACATATTTTAGGAAAAGAATTTACAAAAAGAACAACTCATCCTACCACTAAAAAACAATCATTTTTTACATTCTTGGGCTACATTTCTAGGTAAATGATAACAAACTAACATGATAACCTGCTATTCTCATTCAATTAGCACAAATACCACCCCATATCATTAAACATTTCCCAAATCATTTAAGTACCTATGTAGTACTCTAGCATATGAATCAGTACAACCTAGCTCATGCTCTGTTGCTGAAAACCTAGGCTGCTGCCAACTTCCCCACGTTAAGCACAACGCTGTGGCGAGGACGGGGAGCCCTCTCTGCGCACACTCCCCACGGCCGCACGGCCAGCAGGGCGCCCGGCGCGAACGGCATCTCGCTGGAGGGCCACATTCTCTTTCATCCACGTTGAACTGTCCCCCTAAACTGAAACCACCGACCAACACCACCATGATTCATTGGCTACAATCCAGAACACAAAACCATTTCCTGCGGTCTGGGTCACCCACGGACACCACCTCTCACGTGGTCACGCTATCTCTGGGCCCCTACTGGCACCCTCAGGACGACTCCCGAAAGCACTTACTGTTGGGGTGGAACATCTCGCAGGTGAATCTCATCTTCGGGGGACTCAGCGGGTAATCGAGCGGGAAACTCAGGATGGCAGGAAACACTCCAAACTCAAAGCAAGTGTCTTCGGGGCCCCTGGAAGATGTAAAATACGCAGGACTTGAAGGCAGGCTTTCCCCATGTCCACCACGCTTAGAAATGAGTTCGGGAATTTTTACTGCATTGTTGCACATGAAAAGATTATATCTAAATACCAATGACGAATAGCTACTTTTTTCTGAATGGAAAATAATGTGTCCCTGTCCTGTTCCAATCTGGTTTACATCTCAGGTACGAGCACGAGACACAGTTAGTCACAGGTGGTTTTACATCGACAGAGGTCGCAGGGGAGCAGCAGAACCTCCACCCTCACGGGATCAGAGGAAAGGCTAAGGCCAGCGCTGCAGGGCCCCCAAGGACTCTGCCTTTCTGTGTATGCGGTACAATTACATTTTCGGAGAAGGGTATAAATTATGGCGCACATTACAGCAAGATTCTATTGTCGCAAATAAACAAAGGGTTGAGAGTTGTTGTCCAAAAGCTATTTCTTATTTTTAAATGCGCCTCGGCAGAATTTCTGTCAGCTTCCAGAAGCAGGTAAGGAGCACACGCGTGGTCCCTGCCGGGTTCCCCGCAGAAGCCGGGATGTGCACGCGTGCAGCAGTGCGGCAAGCAGGCCCCGCCCTGCGGGCCTGGGCTCGGGGCCACACCCGGCACCTGCCCGGCCGCCGGAGCACTCACTGTCGCTCGGCACGTGCACACCTCGTCTGCCTGGGCTTACTACCTCCTCGTGGGGAAAGTGGCAGAAACGGACTAAGCCACGTCTCAAAGTCCCGCCACATTTCAGAACTCGACCTGCACAAATGAGCACCCTCTTGCTCCATGCACAGCACACTGGCCCGCAGGAGAGGGGGAGTGAGAGCCACCAGCTCACACCCTGACAGAGATGAGCTCCTCCACCCCACACGAAGGACGTCTACAAAATCCGCCCTGAGGTCATGAACCCATCTCAGACCATCTTTCCCGCGTAAACTTGGACAGAAAACAGAGCCGAGGAACGACAGCTACAGACCCTACAAGAGCAGCAACTACGCTGGCTGTGGCCCCTCAATTCAGTAAGAGAAGAAATCCCACACCGCTCCTGTGAACCGAGAGGAAGCGCCTCAGGACTGCCCGTCTCTGTCCACGCCACGGCCCAGCACACCAACTCCGCACACGGTGAGGCCTGCCGCAGGGCCCACGGCCTCGGCCGCCCAGGCCTGCTGCCTCTCAAAACACTCGGCTGGCCAAAGAGGTGGTTCGGTTTTTTCTGCAGGATGGTTTAGTTGTCTTTAACTTCATTCAAAACAGTGTTGTTAGTATTGTGACAGCTGTCATACCAGCATGCATTTATAAGAAAGCAACACCAAAACTGGTGAACTTTTGTGTAGCCAAATTAATATTGAAGATGGAAGACAATACACAACACTGTCGGCATATTATGCTTTATTGTTTCAAGAAAGATAAAAATGCAACTGAAACACACAAGAAAGATCTGTGCAGTGTACGGAGAAGGTGCTGTGACTGACCGAACGAGTCGAGTGGTTTGTGAGGTTTCACGCTGGAGACGTCTCGCCGGACGACGATGCTCCACTGTCAGGAAGGCCAGCTGAGGCTGGCAGCCACCACACTGAGACGGTAACTGAGAACAATCAACATCACATACCATGTGGGAGACGGCGGATATGCTCGAAATATCCAAGTCAATAGAGTTACTGGTGAAAATGAAAAATGTATCTTTCATTTTAAGGAAAAAAAACTAAACGGACTTTTTGGCTCATGCAATAAATAAATAAAGACAAGACATGGCACAGGAACGAATTAAAATATATTAATTCTAAAACAATCTACCTACATTTTTAAAATTGTTTTTTAAAAGTACAAGTTTATTTTGTCTTTGTAAAATTATTTTGATTCAGTGAAATTTTAAAAATTTATATAAATTTGCAAATAGTAGAAACAATATTTATTTCCACAATTAAAGGAAAATGAGAACAATTTCAAAAAGAAACTAAACAGAGCTCTATGTTCATTTGGTGTTGACACTTGCGCTCTCGATGAGCCACAGCAGAGCCAGGCCGAGTCACCAGCCCGGGAGGCTGGGCTGTAGTAAAATGGGAATGAGGCAAGAAATGCTCAGTGGCGCTAAGTATTTTCAATTTAAGAGACAAATCTTGGTTCTGAAAACTGTGTCTTTGCTACTTTGGGAGAAGCCACAGTGAATAGCTACTTTGTTTCAGAAGGTGTCGCAGCACAACAGCGCCCAGAGCCTTGGCCTGAAACCAGGACAGGAAAGCCACATGAAGAGGCGGGTGTGGGGGGTGGGGCTCTTGGAAGAGAGGTGGCCCAGCTGCACCGCAGGGAAGGGCGTCCAGCCTGGGACAGGGTGCAGGCCACCGCCGGGCAGCTCCAGCCCTGCGGTGCTCTTCCCCAACAATGCCCTGGAAGCCCTTCTTTCTGCACACAGGGTCAGCATGGCCCACGCACATGCGTGCGATTTCCAAACAGCCCACGCTTCTTCTCCAGCAGGAGAACCCAAAGCAGATGGTAAGTGCCTTTCCATCCTTACTCCACATGTCCTTCGGATGAAAGGTGTAAGGAAGCGCTGCTTTCACTTAAGCAAAGCTGGGATACAGTGACTGGCCCGGGTCCGAAATCAGTTCAGTCCGGGAGTTAGGAGAACACAGTCCACACTGCTAACCCAGAGGCTGAGCAGAGATGCTATCTTTAAAAGCAACAGTGTTACTATGTCAGGAATGTGTGCCAGTGCTTCAATCTTTCTGGCACCTCTGATTCCGTAGAGAAAAGTATGTCTGGGTAATGTTTCTGGAATGAGCCAAATGGTACTTGCTCAATACTTTGATAACAGTTCTTTGTTTCTCATAATAGTGCTTTCTTTAAAATTAAAAAAAAAAAAATCCCCTGGGTCGTCTGCAGCCTCATAAACATGATCAAACATTTCCTAAAGTGCTCCCACATCTTAAATATCAAAGCCATTTTCCAATGCTCTGGTTCGCTACTGGTTTAAAACCAGGCTTCCTGTCTCCTCCAGAGGCCCTGGTGCCTGGGACGAGCCTGCAGCTGGGCCCATGTGGGCAGCGGCATGCCAGCTGACTGACGGAAGCACTAGCGAGTGCATTCCTGAACCGAGAGAGGGAGACATAATTAGTGTTATTTTTGGACAAGTGTTAGTGCCATCCTCCAAGTAACAAAGAGGCAATAGCCTCACTTCTCCTTCACTGAAGACCTCATGTCAAAATCTTCAGGGAAAAAAAATGTACAAGAAAAAGGTAACAAAACATTTATCTGAGACAAATATATACTCTTCAAAGCCTGAAAATTATTTTCCATCTTCCTGATTAAAATAATGGTCTGAATCATGTCAGAGCTCTGAGACAAGTACGTATCTATTTGTTGAGACAGGTATTAAAACAATCCCTGCGCTCCACTCTGTAAAGGAACCTGTTCCAAATCGCCCCCACTGAGGACTGCTCAGGCGAGTCGGATGCCAAGGAGCAGAAACTAAGAGCAACACCAAGGTCTAACCCTAACCACCGTTCACAGTGCCCGCTCCGTGTGGGGGACAGCTGCCTGCTGCCACTGCCCAGAGCCCCGGCACCCCAATTCCGCGCCATCCGTGACAACTGATCACCGTCGGAGCTCGGCACACCTGGTGTGAGCCACCTGCGCTCAGGCGTGTCCCAGCACCGCGGCCCACATGACTCTCCAGCTGCGGCAGGTGGTGAAAAAACTGTCTTTTCGATTCCCCTTTTCAGGTCTGTCACAGTGCACGAACAAAATGCCTCATACACATGACAAGGGTTTAAATAACAGAGATTGCAAACCCATTCATTAATACTTAAACTTGAACTGGATCGCTAAGGGAGTTATGCTCTACAACCACCTCGGGCACAACAAAGAAAAGCACTCCGCTTCATAAACTCTCTCCGCTTCCAGAAGGGTCCCCAACAGAGCCTGGCAGGCCGTGAGGATGCCAGCGTCACAGCAGAGTCAACACATTCATCCCCCAAGGAACAGCAGATCAAATCCACAGTGAGGCCCCACGTCACAGCCAGCGGGGCAGCTGGAACCAGACGACACCAAGTCCAGGGAAAGCAGAGAAAAGAAAACCCTCGTGCTGCTGGTGGAAACGTAAAATGGGGTAAGCTACCGTGGAAAACAGTTTCACTGTTTTATCTTAAAACATCCAACACAGATGTACTCTACCCTCCAGCAACTCCACTCCTGCGTACCTGGCCAAGAGAAATAGAAATGCGTGTCCACACAGACAGTTCACGGCAGCACTGCAGCCCAAACACAGTGACACCCAAGTGTCCGTCAGCTGGTGAGTGGACATGCCAGATGTGGCCCGTCACAAAGCGGGACACACTCGGCAACAAAAAGAGAAGAACCACTAACACTCTGCAGCACGGAGGAAGAACTCAATCCACGCAGTACTCTGAGTCCCAGAAGTCAGACACAGAGGGCTAGATAGTTTGTGATTCCCTTTGCAGTGCAGCAGCAGAAGTCCAGAAAAGGCAGGTCTATTAAGTCCGAAAGCAGAGCAGAGCTGCCTGCGGCTGTGGCTTCGGTGGGGGCTGCCTGCACGTGGGCGTGAGGGCCTTCTTGGAAGTGCTCTACAACTGGACTGTGGGGGTGGTCACAGAGCTCATGTACTCACTGAATTCACTGACTTGCACACTTAATACAGGGCAATTTACAGCGTGTAAATTACATATCAACAAAGCTGTGGAAAACCTGACCCTGGGGGACAAGGCCACATGCCATACCAGGGCACCTCGACCTCGGCACAGCAGCGTCTTGGGCCAGACACCCCACGCCGAGTGTAGGAGCCACCGTGCACGCTGCGGGGCGCCCAGCAGTGTCCCACCAGATGCCAGCAGTGGAGGCCCCTACCCTCAGCTGTGAAAACCAACAGTGTCCCCGGACACTGCCACATGTCCCACGGGGAAAAACAACCCGGGGAACAACACTGGCCTAGGCCTGTTGTTCCCTAGTTTGCTGCTTCTGCTCCATAACCACCGGGACCCCTCTCTAGGCCACTATGTGACTCTGCCTGAACCTCTGCCGAGCCACGTGGCATCCCGGTACACGGGTGACCGTGAATCGCACCGAACCATGACGCGCCCGCATCACTGCGGCCATGCTGCAGGGAACGTCCTCACACGAGACCCGCACAGCACTTCTGAGGAAGAAGTGCCCGGGGTCGGGACTGCTGGGTCAGAGAGCACACAATACACACTGTAAGCATCTACTTTAGCGTCTTGGGTTTATTTCAGTGGGCACAACACCCACGAGAGACGCTCTGTGACAGTGCTCTGGACACGAGAAAGCCTGAGGGCGGCAGCTGTGACCATGATGCTCACACCTGGTGTGAGCCAGGCATGGCCCTAGGGAAACGACAGCCTGGAATCCTCACACCCACGATTGTAACGCAGCTCAGCCCTGAACCTGCCACAGTAACACGGGGGCGAGTCAGCTGAGGTGGCCAACCATTCTCGAAGGGGAAGACCTTGTCATTCTACCACAGTGGACAGATCCCCCTGGTCTGGACAGGGAACAGCAGCTAGGCCACAGACCGGGCAAGGAGGTCACCAGCTGCTCTGAGAATGCTGGGGCTAGACAGAAACAGGGTGGCAAAATTCCAAGGTACTTCATGCTTTTTCCAGCCACTGAGGACAAATGGCTGGCCTGCACCACAGAGCTCTCTGTCCCGCCAAAGGGTTCTGAAAGAGCATGTTCGCCCCCCACAGTAGAGGGCTCAGACAGCGCCCCACACCACGGCCGGGGCCAGCGAGCTCATGAAGCCAGAGACTGAAACATCAGGCTGCAGGTCTCCAAGGATGCCGGACCTCTTTGTTTTGACCCAGGTAAGTGGCGGTCAGAGAGGCAGTGACTGGCTCAAGACCGTAAAGCCATGGCAGCCACACGGCCTTGCTGCCCACCTCCCTGGGGCCACCAGGAAGCCCCGCCCTTCCCACTGAGTGGTAGGCCCCAACACCAACACGGGCTCAACAGAGAGCCCTGAGAGTGATTTAGAGGAAAGGCTGTGGCGCGTCTGTTATTCAACTCTTCCCTGTTTGTCAGTGTGTTGCGCTCCCACCCCAGGCCCTCACTCTTGTCCTTTCAGGGTGGAGACCTGGGGTCGCCCCTGACAGGCCTGTATCAGCGACAAGGGCCCGAGTGACAGGCGCTCGGTATTTGTGTCTGGAACGTGTGAAATGATGTTTTCTTCCTGGCACAGCTAAGTGGAGGCCCCCTAGGGAAGCTGCGGACTCTAGAAAATGAGACAAGTGTGGCTTTTATGAACACGAGAGGATGGAAGAAACCCTGGGAATGGTCAAAGAATAAAAAGGAAGAAAAGAGAGCCCATCGCTAAGGAGGGAAACTCAGCCAGCTGTCTGCCAAGACAAGAGGGCGAGCCGAACCAGCGAGAGGACAGTTAATTCCTTAATAGATGTTTTCAGCACACTGGTGAACGGCCTCTTGTTTGTGAAAGGGTCTGGAACGGGACCAAAACCCACAAACTCACCAGATCCTGCAGCCGGGGAATTCCACACTAAAGCAAAAGCCTTATTCAAACACAAAAGTGCTCTACCTAAAAAATAGTTCTAATTACTTTTTAAGACAGGTTCTCAAAATATTGATTTAATTTTATATTGTTTATCTAAAATTAGTAATAGTTACCCTAACAGATTTTTAACAATAAATACTATGAAAAAAACCAAAGTGAAAGGCTCATGTGTCCCTTTAAGGGCTTTTAAATAGTCTCGTGCCTGTGCGTAGCCATTGTCTTGTAGAGACAAAGGGCCGATCAGGTGCCCGGGGACCTCCGCACTCAGAGAGGCCTCCCAAAAACCTGCCCCCGCAACCCAGCCTGCTGCTTGGTGGCAGGCGTGTGTGTCCGTGTGAGCACCGAGGAGAGCGGGTGGAAGAGTGAATGAGAAAAGCAGGGTACACAGCAAGTTCCTACAGCGTGATCTCCTGTTTCTTCGAAAACACAGCCCCGGCTGGCGTAGCTCAGTGGATTGTGTGCCGGCCTGCAAACCAAAGGGTCACTGGTTCGATTCCCAGTCAGGGCTCATGCCTGGGTTGCAGGCCAGGCCCCCAGTGGGGGTCACGCATGAGAGGCAACCACACACTGATGTTTCTCTCTCTCCTTTCCTTCCCCTCTCTCTAAAGATAAATAAATAAAATATTTTTAAAAACTTAAAAAGCTAGGCTAACAGGAGTGCACAGCGCTGCGGCCCACTGCACGCAGGTCACCTCTGACCGGAAGCCCTTGACCCACTCCTCGCTGCGGCGGGAGGGAAAGACTCAGTGCCGCGTGGACGCAGACACAGGCTGGAAGACACCCGCATGCCAGAAACACCGAGACCCAGGAAACTGTGGGTATCACGGACCCAAGCCATGACGGCATCACGAACGATCAGGAAAACATCAGCATGCTATGCTGTCTCTGGAGACTGTTTACTGACTTTTAAAGTATTTTGCTTTTCTTTGTTTTAAATTTTATTTATTTATTTTTAGACAGGGAAGGGAGGGGGAGAGAGAGAAACATCAATGTGCGGTTGCTTGGGGCCGTGGCCTGCAACCCAGGGATGTGCCCTGACTGGGAATCGAACCTGCGATGCTTTGGTTCGCAGCCTGTGCTCAAGCCACTGAGCTACGCCAGCCAGGGCAGTACTTTGCTTTTCAAACTCACCTTCACATCAACTTTCACACATTAATCTCACCTCACAGGCAGCAGCTGGCAGCAACTTCTCTCAGACTGACAGGTAAGTACTAGGAATTAGTGGCGTACAAGCACCGGGCAAATCCAGCAAGTCTGATGATGGTGAGAACTATATCCCGAAACCAGGGTTCACACTTGTGGCAGTAACTTCACGCCTCTGCCGGTCCCTCCCCATGGGGCACTGCATCCAATGGGACCTCATCTCACTAATGAGAAAACTGAGGGGCTGATTATAAATCTCAACTCCCTAAATGTTACCTGACCACATTTTCTTGAAATACACTAAGTCCAAGAATAGCTGAAAATTGCACATCGCAGGTAAAAAGAAGACAAGCAGTGAGCCTGGGTCACAGCACCATAGAAGACTCTAGAATCAGAGGCCTATCTGTCGTTTTTTAAGCAACATCACTGGACGGGAAACACCATGCAATCCGGTCACAATCTTTCTAGAACGGGGTAGGAGGAGCAGCGCTAGTCAGCCCAGAGGAACAGAGCATGTTTCCTGGTCAGGGACAATGGAAGGCCAGACCAGACACACAGAGGAAGGAGAGGCGATGAGGGGTAGGGGGTAGGGGCCAGAGGGGTTCCAGTCCTGGTGCATAGGCAGGGTGGTGACCCCCCAGGAAGGAGCCTGTCCCACCTCAAAGCTGCAGCTCTCAGGACTTCTTGGAGCAGAGGCCACGCATGCTAGTCAAAGCTAACTCAGCACAGCACAGAACATTGCACATTTGCTATTTCAAAGCTGTGCAAACACATTATGCTCACTAAACCTTTTACTGGTGCTAAGGAAACACTTTCATTTCTTCTGGATAAACATTTGTGTTATCTGTGGCCCTTAGAATAGTGGACCAGGGAAGAGCTACATTTCAGAGACACGCCTAGCCCTTTTTCTAGTCAATACCTCTGAGCACAGCCGCTCTGCCAAATATGATGGACAGATCGGATTTCCAGTAGAGTCTTACGACTAACAACATGTATGATTAACTTACATGATCAATGCCTCCCATTCAAAAAAGTTTTCTTCATTCATGGGGCCTGCAGGAAAAGAAAAATATCCACATTGTTACTCTGAAGGCAACTTTAGCTATTAGAAGTAAATTAGAAAAAGATTAACTTTAGTACCTCACCTGCCACAATTCCTTCCGGAGGATTCAGTGTTAATTCTATAAAATTAAAAAGTAAAACCATTATGAAACAGAATGAATATTATATTGGCATTTTAACAAAACAACTGTAAAAAGTATACAAATTGTAAATTATATAGTATACATATTAGCAGATCAAAATTCTTTGTACAAAGTGGATTCCTGCTCCAGTTACATTTCTGATAAAGACTATGTGACCAGTTCTTTATACCAGCAAAAAAGCAGGATTTTAGTGCTAGACACCCCTTCATTTGAGAAATGAAGAAACACACAAAAAGATTTAACCGTCTTCCCAAAGTACTCCTGCTGGTTATTTTTTTTTCCAGATATATTTTTTAAAGATTTTATTTATTTCTTTTCAGAGAGAGGGAAGAGTGGGGGAAAGAGAGGGAGAGAAACATCAGTGTGTGAGAGATGTATCAATCAACTGCCTCTTGCACGCGCCCCAACTAAGGACTGGCCTGCAACCCAGGCATGCGCCCTGACCAGGAACTGAACCAGCAACCTTTTGTTTTGTAGGACAACGTGCAGCCGACGGAGCCATGCCAGTCAGGGTTGCTGGTTATTCTGATTAAAGCCCATAACTCAAACACAGTATATTATTTTCCAACTGAAAGGTATCTCCTGTCACTCGGAGACAAACTAGAGATGTGACCAGGGCTGAGGCTTCAAAAGCCTGACTCCGAAGCAAGGGCATCGAGCACCGTACGGCCCACCTGCCAGGCGCGGTCATCACTGCGCATCTACGAGCCCCATGGAGACGAGGCTCCGCAGAACATCCGGCTTCAGCACTGACAGCAGACCCAGGGCGAAACAAGTCCACAGCAGCGGCGCCGCTCAGCGACTTGAGATTAGCAGTCGATGAAAAACCTGAGGCCCAGCTCTGTCACGTAGGAACTGCCACTAAGATATGTCATTTTAACTTGTAAGGCATATTTAAGAGAGCAAAAAGGTAAGCCCCAGAGGAAGATGATATTTGCAACAGATATAAGCAACAAAGGGCAAACACCTGAACTTTTAAAGAACACCTTACAAATCAATAAAAATACAAAACAATCCACGAGAAGAGTCACGCACAAGAACTGAACGAGCACTTCTCTCTCTCTCTCTCTCTCACACACACACACACACACACACACACACACACAGTCAATAAACCTGAGAAGGCGTCCACCTCATTAACTACAGGGAAACGCAAACTAAAATCACGGAATCACGGCGAGGCAGTGCCGTCCCACCAGAATGACCCAGCCACCACTGTTTAGAAAACCGACAGTAAGAAGTGTCCATGCGGACAGAGAGCCATGGACACTTACTACCCGGACTCCTGCTGGGAGGACGGCAGATTGCTAGTTTGGAAATGAGGGTGCTGTCACCTACTATGACCCAGCAACTCCTCTCAGGAGCACAAACACATATGTAAGCATATGTGCACCAAGAGACATGTCTAATAACCTTTTCCTTCGCTTGCTGATGTCATCACTCAGAAGAGCTTCAGATTCTCAGTAGCAAACAACATGCTTCTGTGCAGAGCAACTTACAGCAAATTGTAACAACCTCCTATGAATACACCTCTGAAAAATATGAGGAAATAACAGGTAAAGTGTCCCTGGAATAATTACAGGGTTTGAGATGTAACATTTTGGCATACTCCTTGAAGAGCAGAGTATATGTGGACCGGGATACTTACTAGTTTAAGCAAGTGAGCATTCAATGGCCCTAAATCTTACAGAAAAAGAACAATTTAAATATTCCTCTGCTGCCCTGGAAATAGTGCTCTAACTGGTTTAGAAGATTGCGTATGCCTCTATCTTGCTATATAATTTTATGTACTGGAAAGTACACAATTAACCATTCTAATCACAAAAGCACTCAACTCCAGGTGACATTTCTTCTCTTTACATTTGCATTTTGGTCACAGCTGAAGCTCTGAGGAGCTACACAAGCCATGAAGAGCTCCTTGGCCAGTATGACTAGAACTGGCCAACCACTTATCAAATATCAATCAACATATTATCGATTACCAGTACACTTTTTCTCTGCCAAGCAGTATCCTAGGCAGTGGAGATGTAGTGGTGAAAGATACAGACAAGGTCCCCCCCCCCTTAAATGAGCTTTTGTTCTAGTGAACAAAGACAGGTAATGAACAAGGAAACATAAATCAGACGAGTTTCAGATATTAGTGAGTGTAGTGAAGAATGTGGCAGAGTAAGTGACAGATACACCGAGGTAGCCAAGGCAGGCCTTGCTGGGGAAATGATACTGGAGATGAGTTGTCTCTCTTGTTCTTTTTTTTAAACTGAGATGCAAAAGATGTAACAGGGTCATTAGTGTCAGGTGTACAAGAGTGAGTCAATATTTACATATATATATATTGGAAAGTGATAAATGAAATAACTCCAGTAAACATCCATCAACACACATAGTTACAATTTTTTTTTTTAAATCTACTCCCTCAGCAACTTTCAAAGATGCAGTACAGTATTATTAACTAAGGTCATTACATGTAATGCAGTACATTAACCCGAGAACTTATTTTATAACTGCAAATTTGTACCTTTTGACCCTCCTTCACCCATTTCACCCACCCTACACCCCCCACCTATACAACCACCAATCTGTTCTCTGTATCTAGGAGTTCACTTTTGGGTTTTCTTAAGGTTCCACATATAAATGAGATTATATAGTATTTGTCTTTCTCTGATTTATTTCACTTAGCAGAATGCTCCTCAAGCTCCATTCATGTTGGAGCAAAGAGTAAGATTTCCTTCTTTTTATGGCTCAATAATATTCCATTGAATATATACTGCATATTTACAGCAGCATTATTTATAATGGCCGAAAAACAAACCCAAATATCTTCTCAATCGTAGAAGGGCCTTAGCCAGTGTGGCTCAGTTGGTTGGAGCAGCATCCTATAACCAAATGGTTGCAGGTTCAATTCCTGACCAGGACACATACCCAAATTGTGGGTTCAAGCCTTGGTCCAAGCAAGTACAGAAGGCAACCAATTGACGCTTCTCTCTCACATTGATGTTTCTCTCTCCCTCCCTCTCTCTCTAAAAGCATCGGAAAAAAAAAACAAACAAAAATGACACACAGCTACACACATTACTTTGTGCACAAGTACACAGACCTAAATACTATATAGAACACTGTGTATGTATACACATACACAACATAGAATATACACACAACACAGAATACACAAGTACGTTTACAGATAGATTACATGTGTTAATAAGCAGGCAAAGCTGATCTACAGCGATTAAGGATGCACGCTTTGGTGGAAACGCAAAGCCAAACAACGAGGAGACCCTCTTACAAAGAAGAGCTGCCTGGGGGCGGGGGCCCACACCGTGGGGCTCTAGAGGGCTGTCCCCCGGCTGCTGGTGCTCACTCTGAGAATCCCTGAGCGGAATGTGTCGTTCCTTGTACTTTTCTTTGTTGGTTATATTTCAAGCTACTAAATAGTTTAAAAGCTGTTCCCGCAACAGTCCCAGCAGGGAAGATGACGCCACAGGTCAACTGTGAAAGTGGTAATGAATGAGAAGGCTGGGGTCTCGTCCACAGGCAGAGGTGACAGGGCTTGCTGATGAAGCCGATGTGCCACGTGAGGATAAACGAGGGGTCCACACCACTGAGTGAGTGGTGCCACCCTCACTGGACTGAGTGAGTCGTGGCGCCCGCACTGGGCTGGAACAGGGAAGTTCTCGCGCTGAGACAACAGTAAGCAGACAAGCAGAGGTGGTTCTGAAGCTCCAGGGAGGGTGGAAGTCGGAGAAGGAAAGTGAGGAGCTACGGCGTGCGGAGACCGGGGCCTGAAGGGGCTCTCCAGCGCAGTGTTTCCACAGGGGGCCGCTTCTGGGCTGCACAGTGACTCGGGGACACTGCTGCCACTTGGTAGGAAAAGGGCCAGGAATACTTAACATTCTGCCACAAACAAGTCCCATACAAGGAAAAATTATACTCAAAATACTAGTAACACCTGTGGGAAAACGTGGATCCAGTAGACAGGTAAAGGGACAGAAGAGAGACAGGTCTGTTACCCAGAGTGCGCCAGCACCAAGAAGGGGAAGAGGAAGAGACAGCCGATGTTAGGGGAGGCCAGTGGAGTAACACTAGCAAGTGCTGCTCCCAAATGCCAAGTGCATTAAGTATTTCAAGGAGGGAAAAACCAAGGGCAAATGAGGTCAATTACCAGCAGGGCCAAGACCCTTGGATTTGGCAAGACAGACTCTGCCAGCCACTGTCTGTATCTCTTCACAGAAGCAGAATGGGGGAAGTAACCCCAGGACCCAACTCACCAGGCTTTATAGCCCTAGTCATCCCAAATCTCACCTGATTTCTCTAAGTCAAATAGCCTTTCTGGAAGAACAAAAAGCAAACAACAGGCTAAGGCAGATGGTTATAACTTGCTAAGAGCAGCGGGCGTAGGGGAGCCAGAGAGGCAGGCGGGGGCAATGTGGATGGGAGTGGGAGTCGAGTGCCTGAGAGCAACACAGAGGAATAATTACACCAATGATTTTAATGGGATCGCACACCAAAAGGAGCTGGCTTTCTTCTTCATTTGTGGAGTTTCCCCTTGGAACTTCCCTCCGTGCTGCCCTCCCTTTGGGGAGAGGCACAGGGCTGTCTAAACTGCATCCCGCGTCCAGCAGCCTTCCCACCGGCACTCTTATTCAACAGTGGCATCTGCTGGTGGGTGCAGGACTGCAGCCACCCAATGCTCCAGTGGAGGGCGTGCGCTAGACTGCACACAACTATACAGGGTCATGTTTACAGATTAAAAACAACTTCAAAAAGAGAAACAAATCTTAACAATGTCAGAGGAATTTGAAAACACCATGCCACTGGTCCCTTGACAATGTTCGGTTGTTAACAGCATTTTTTAAAAGTACCTTGAAAAATAGCTGCCACAAGAAGTGAAATACAAATCTACCCCCTGACCCAGCAATCCCATGTCTCAGAATCTATCCCACAGAAACACTGGTAAACGTAAGGAAAGAAACACGCAT